GAACATTTTCAGTGAGCTATTACACACCAACTGTACCAGGAAGAAATAACCAAAAAAAGAATTAGAAATATTGTTAAACTGATACTGACAGTCAAACAAATATTGTTTTCTTTTTTGTAATTTTCAGCTAATCCAGTTACTTTTTTCGCAATTGTCACCCAGAGGTCTCTACGATCACCAACGAATGTTTTCTTAGCAGCATTATCTGTGGTGGACTTCTTTGTTGGAGTATTCTGCGTTGGACAAAACGCCATTCATTTATCCTATATCAACGAAGGTACTTGGCCATTAGGAAGTCAAGCCTGCAAAATTTACATTTATTTTATCCATATGCTTCCAAGCGTCAGTGCTGGACTTTTGGTAAGTCTTTATTTCATTTGTTTCTTCTCTTTATATTTTTCAGAAGTCAAGACCAATATTTTTATCGACTTGCTTCATTCTACTAAAGAAATTGGTAGTTTTCTGTCGTTTTTTAGGTGTTATTATCGTTAGAAAGGATGATCGCAGTAAAGTTTCCAATGATTGCGAGTAAGATTTTAAAATATTCAATAACTATTCCGAGTACATTGTTAGTATGGCTATGCGCTGGTATATCGAATTTTCCTTTCTATATTGGTGCCAGATTTAAACAGTACAACAATTATTTTTCGGTATGCTGTCAAATGATATGACGTACAGTTCATAACGGAAATGATTACCGTGGTTTTGTACTTTCATGTTTTTTTTGGGGACACTTAAGAGTCAGGAGTTGCGAAATGGGCACCACTTAAGTAATCAAAATATTACTGTATCTAGTAGATTGAGTGACTTGGTAAGAAAGGCAGTTCCTGAAAGCCTATCGGTGAATAGCATTAAATAATATTATTACCAGATTATTATCATCTTAGTTAACTCTGAGTAAACAGGAAGATGTAGAGGCTGAGTCTTTCAGTAAGGCTAAACATGACATTCAAACGTTTCAAGAAAGAAAATGTTCTTAAATAAATTACTGAGAAAAAAGAACTTTTTCAGCTGTAAAAATTAAAAAATAAGCTTTGGTGAATAGTGCAAATGTTTTGTTTCTCGAATTCGTCCTCTACGATTTTGTCACACAATTAAGTAGTTCTTTGCAAGATCCGTACAAAAAAAAGTATTGAAAAAGAAACGATTGACTTTTCATTTTCACTGATGTTCCTCATCTTTTATGGGGCGAAATCTGTTATTCTTAAAAATACTAAGAACAGAGACAAAAGCTGATTTTATTTTCTGATAGTTTCAAGTTCGTTAATTATAGGTAAGCAAAAATTGGAAGTTTTTTAATTTGTTATGTATTTGTTTAGTTGAGCATTTTTTTTCCTGACGCAAAATTCAACGTGGTGTTATCACTGGTTTATAAAGAAGTGTTTTTTCTTTTTTTTTTCACATATTAATCTATATGCAAACTGATAGCTGGAGTCTTGCTGAGGCTGATAAATCAAAATAACCAAAACTTTTTCAATTGGTGAAATGCCAACATTAATAAAAAGTGGAGGTCTCTGGGGTATAGATTGGGTGTTTTTTATTCAATGACCAAAGGATATCTGCTGCATGTCCCTTCGTAGCTTGTCTTTTTTTGTTGGCTTGCAAATTTTTTTTATGTCTATTATATAGCGTCCATCATCTGCAACTATGTATTGACAAGCATTAGACAAAACATAAGTTTTTTTTCTAAAAAAGTTATTCCTCACAGACGGCAAGAATTTACAGAATTATTTTTAGGGATGTTTTCCTGAAGATGCAAATCCGTTCAATCGCGGTGTTTTAGTGTTCAACATATTCGCTTGGTTTATTATCCCTTGTATCTTCCTAGCAATTGCTAACACCTGGACAGCAATAACGATATGCGCTAGTATTAAGAAGGGTACTGTTGCACGGTCAACCAGTACTTCAAAGTCAAACCATAGTTCGAAGACGTTTTTCGCTGGAAGATTTTGTTTTCCGCGACGTAAAAGTTAGTTTTATTGTAAAAGAGAAAAAAGAAAAAAGTGTAATCAGTGAGTTTAAGTAATCTTTTTCATTAATTCATTTATTTTTTTATTTACTTATCTATCTATTTCTTTATTTTTTTCATTTTTTATTTTTCTAGACCTGCTAGATATGCATTATCTGCAAAAATTCGGTCTAGCAGTACATTAAATAAATATGGACACTGAGGGTTTTAGAAATTCGAACACGAATTTATCACGGTACAATTGATGAACGAAGGCGAGTGGGCTATATTCAGATTGCTATTTTTATTATATTTGTGTGTTTGCAGTCACCGCGAAGAATGTACCTGTTGTACAGGAATTTTTTTGATCAAGGTTAGCGTAAAAAAAATAAAATAAAATGAAATAGATAATAAAATTAGACTTTAATCTTATTGACGTCTTTTATCTAGACACACAAAGTGCTGATTAGCATTAATTGTTTACATCAGATTAGTAATTGTTTAATTGAACTAATTTTAGTTTTTTTTTTAGTTAAAAAATTTAAGTTTTGACTAACAATTGGAAATCAATGCACAGTTTTTTGAAACTATAATTTTTTAAATTCTAAGATATAGGAAGAAGAAACAGAATACAACAAAATAGTTATTGTTTTTTATAACAACAAAAAAAATTTATTTTTAGCGCCTGTAAAGTCGATTAACGGGTTTGTTGCAAAAATTCATCCACTAACCTTTTTAATGCAGTTTGCAGTAAGTGCTATAAATCCATTAATATATGGTTTTTTATCACGTCGTTTTCGGCAGGCAATTTTATCAATGCTGTGCTGTCATAAAGATCGTGAACGGGTAAAAGTTTTTTTTGTTTTTCTTATTTTTCCAGAAAATATAAAGAACTCTTTTTAACTTTTATTTTTTCCAGTTTAACTGTTCATCTAGAATTGTTGCTCTGTCACCGCTGTTACAAGTTTACTGTTTAATATCCAAAAATTTTTAGAGGCGGCAACAAGTTTGTCAGAACGCTTATCGCCACGCAAGTAAACAGGAAAGTGCAAGTTTTCATACAAAGCATCCGTTGTTAACAGATGTTCGGTTGGATCGTAAAAGTCCTGTGTTAAATTTCCGGAATGGTAATCAGATAAATTCTGCTGAAGAAACTCTTTTATAACGCATCTACTAAAATAATATTTTGCAGCAAACAATCTCATTTTACCGGTATAAAGGAAAAGTTTAAAAAAAGATGTGGAATAAGAAGTAAAAAAATGTTTTTCAAAAATTTTATGTTTTTATTTGATATTGTTAATGGTTTTTATATGACGTTTACTGCCGTTTTCTATGT